TTTCTACGATCACAAATGCAGACATGGTTTAATGTGTACGCGTCGCAATGCAACGCAACGCGTAAAAAGACAGTATAAGTCATTATAATCCATAATTATGTCCCCACTGGATGCCTCGTTTATAATGGGTTTTTTAATGTTTTTGTCTCGTCGCTCCGGCCAGGACACGGCATCACAATATGGTGAGGGGCGTAACATTTCCATCACACGCTCGAGGTATTCGGCCAATCACAATGCACTGGATAGCTGGCCAATCAGAGCACACCTCGCTTTTCAGACCGATGAGCTTTGTAAAAATCTATGCGTTTCAGAATGGCGGGGCATAGAGCAGAAACAATAATGCACAGTATGTGGAAAATGTGTTTTTGAACCTTAAACTGCATAAACACATTTCATTACACCAAATGCACAAAATAATGTTCTTTTTAGCAGCATCATATGACCCCTTTAAATCATTTGTGTTCTTCGCTAATTCAAGTGCTTCACACTGGATATCGCTGCGTTGTTTAGTACTCGCGAGACTTAGACTTATCAGCGAGTAAATGCATCTGCTCTAGTGAGCTCGCAACCGCTGCGCTGCTATTTGAACTTTGATCCGAGCAAATAAACTTTCCATGTGGCACACATCAAATGAGTTGTGCTGTTGCATTTAGCTTTTGCCACATAAACATAATACTGAACATTTATCGAACTTGTCATATTGTTTTATTGAGGAAAATTACTGTATATCGTTATCAATTTATCGCCCAGCCCTACCCTGCTATAGTTTACATTAGGGCTGCACGCTAAATCGCATGCGATATTTAACGCGCATCTTGTCAGTAAAGCCGTTCTGTAATAAGAGGTAAATCTCCATTTTGTTGCAGAGTCTTGCTTAAATTTTATGTATATGCATGAACATAATCCATTATAGCTCATATGTCATATATGTCATGTAGTGGTAAAAACTAAAAAGTTTGTATTTTTTTGAAAGTTACACATACAGATAACAAAGTTGTTAAAATTATCCCATTCACACAGATCATTGAATCTTCATTTTGCAAAGAAATAATACATGCCTATAGACTGTACAAGATGCACTTTGAACCTTCTTTTCAAAACATTTACTCACCCTCAAGTTGTTCCGATCCTGTATAAATTTCTTTCTTCTGCTGAACTCGAAGGAAGATATTTTGAAGAAAGTTTTTTGGTGAACTATCCTTTAAGGCCCCCAAAGATGCTGATCAGAATCAGAATCAGAATGAGCTTTATTGCCAGGTATGTTTACACATACGAGGAATTTGT